CTCCGCAATGTCACTGACGAAGGGTATCTGGACTCATGACTAGAGTATTTAGCCAAGCCGACAGCTGCAAAAGCATGGGCCTCATGCAGGCAGCAGCCATCATGGACAGTCAAAAATTGTGGTGGAAATTGGACATGGACGCAGTGGTATCCTGCAGATAGCACCACTCCAGTTGCTCATTGCCAGAGCATTTAGCCAAGCCGACAGCTGCAAATCATCTGGCTTCCGGCAGGCCGCGGCCAGGAGGGTCAGACATCAAATTGCAACGGAAAATTTGGTGGACCTGAACTGTGGTACTCGGCCGGCAGCTAACACCCGAGGTCGCTGGCGACGAAATGAGTGTTTGCTCAAAAATCACTGGACTGGAATCGTGCAGGTCGGTATTGGAGTAAACGCGACATCGTCAAAAAATTGCAGTAACCGGCAGCCACCGGCAGACTGCTGCCACTGAAATATAGAAGAATCAAAGACCTCAGTATGAGGGACTCTCAGGCCTAGCCGTCACACGCAGCAGACCGCGGCTCATGTGACCAGCTCCTGACATGGTCAGGCCGGCAGTCCTGAAAAATAGAAAAGTCAAAGACTTCATCACGTAGCCGCCACACGCAGTAGACCGCGACGCACGTGCCTAGTTCCTGACATGGTCCAGGCCGGCAGTCCGGAAAAAAAGGCAAAATTAAAGACTTCATCACGAGGGACGAACAGTTTGTTGTAACCTGACGAAGGACTCCATAAAGCCTCAGTCTGGTGCGCGACCAAGTCCATAACCTGACCCATGCAGAAAAGCGAGAATTGAACACTGGAAACACAGAATGGACATCCTCAGACTGGGGGGCATGCAGAGAAGACGTCGCAGCCCCGAATTCCGGGGTATGGCCCTTTGTGCCGCTGATACAGCATGAATATTCACTGCCCCCTTCTTTTTTTTTGAAGCTTGAGAGTCTTTGTTTCGTGTGACTATGGTGGAAGGGAAATGACAAAATGATATGCAGTAACCCAAAGAGGTCCAACTCTTGTACTGCAAATTGATCAAACGCAGTGGCAGTGACCTACCATTGCTCCGCAATGTCACTGACAAAGGGTATCCGGACTCATGACTAAAGTATTTAGCCAAGCCGACCACTCCATTTGCTCATTGCCAGAGCATTTAGCCAAGCCGACAGCTGCAAATCATCTGGCTTCCGGCAGGCCGCGGCCAGGAGGATCAGACATCAAATTGCAACGGAAAATTTGGTGGACCTGAAATGTGGTACTCGGCCGGCAGCGAACACCCGAGGTCGCTGGCGACGAAATGAGGCTCAAAACCCACTGGACTGGAATCGTGCAGGTCGGTATTGGAGTAAACGCGACATCGTCAAAAATTGCAGTAACCCGCGGCCACGTGCAGACTGCTGCCACTGAAATATAGAAGAATCAAAGACCTCAGTATGAGGGACTCGCAGGCCTAGCCGTCACACGCAGCAGACCGCGGCTCATGTGACCAGCTCCTGACATGGTCCAGGCCGGCAGTCCTGAAAAATAGAAAAGTCAAAGACTTCATCACGTAGCCGTCACACGCAGTAGACCGCGACGCATGTGCCTAGCTCCTGACACGGTCCAGGCCGGCAGTCCGGAAAAAATGCAAAATTAGAGACTTCATCACGAGGGACGAAGAATTTGTTGTAACCTGACGAAGGACTCCATAAAGCCTCAGTCTGGCGCGCGACCAAGTCCATAACCTGACTAAGGCCCCATGCAGAAAAACAAGAATTGAACACTGGAAACACAGAAAGGACATCCTCAGACTGGGGGGCATGCAGAGAAAACATCCCAGCCCCGAACCGCGGGGTATGGCCCTCTGCCGCTGACGCAGCATGGACATTCACTGCCACTCGGGAGCACACGCTGCAACGGTCGCCGCGTGCCGACGCATGAATTGCCGCTGTGAGGGAATCAGAAGTAATGAGTTAGCCCACTGATTGAAACAGCTGACATTCTGGAAATGAAAGAAATGAAGTGAGAATTGAAAACTGGAAAAGTGGAGAACTGGCAGACTAGGGGGGCCGTGGTCACGAGCTCCAAGGGCCTGCACAGGGCCAGCAAAGTCCTTCACATTCTCCCCCAAGAGCCTGCCCAGCACTGTAGCCAGGCTCATGTCCTTCCCCGAGGGCCTGCACTGGGCCAGCGCGGCAAGAGGAAGCCTGCCCAGGGCCTCGGAACCTGCGTCTCAGCCACGTGCGTCAACCTCTAGCCCCTGCCCGGTCCGACTGCAGAGCAGCCGCATAAGATGGAGGAAGCAAGAGCAGAGGCCGCCTCAATGCCATGCTCAGCGTACCAGCGGTCCAAATAGTCCTGCTCAGCTGCACACCGCGCCTTCAAGTTATAAAGCGACATTGCAGCAAAGGATGAAATCATTGCACGAAGGTGCCGGACGCGACGACAAAGTGGGCGAGGTAGTCGGCCGATGAGGTGTGGCCTCCCCATAGGACATGAAGTAGAAGGCCAAGTCCGATACCATTTCGATGCCATGGGCGGCGCGCCACGTGGCTAGCTTGGCTTGTCCCACAGCCAAGCGTGCGTGGACAGCGGCCATCGACATGGCAGCAATGAAAAAATTTTATCTTGAGGTGTCTGCAGTGGCACTGCACCTCAAGGGAGTCTCCCAGTTTTGGCTTGAGCAGCCAAGCAACGTGGGAGACATTGACTTGAAGCTTCACAAATATTTCCTCATCACCGACCCTGCCTACCTTGAATGAATGAATATTCATATATCACTGAAAACTCAAACTCCATCAAAGTGATCCTGGTAACAAAAAGAAGCTCTGTGAGACGGGCATCTGTGAGAAAGATCTTAACAGAAAGCTGCGCCGCGCATTCACAGCATTTGCATTTCATTTGGCCTTGCGAAATCATGTTCAATGTTGACCTCAAATGTCGATTGAAAGAGATGCCTGTGAAGAGCAACCCTGTTCATTTCCCTGCGCCAAACTCACAATCCCCTTGTGAAAATTGCAAGTCTGGCTTCTCCGTATGACTGCGCGCGCAATGAGATGCCATGTCAGACTGTCACGCCTGCATGCCGGATTGCCCCACCAAGTCGACAATGTCCTGAATGAGAGCCTGAGCAACCGAGCGCACACGCATAGCCCACATTTTCCACTGTGGCTGACCAACACCAGCATAATGGCCAGCCATGCTGATCATCCCATAAAACCAACCTACAAAAACTCATCCAGCTACTGAGCTAGTGTATTTCGGCCTTGTTGACAGGGGGGATCCCGTGCTTCATGAAGATCATCTTCACCTCCAAAATGCCCAAGCTCCGCTCTGCGTGCAAAACGAGAACAGCAAGGCGGGGGCTCAGATTGCGTGGGAAATTTGAACCAAATTGTGGGGTATGCTGAAGGTTATGAACGAAACTTTCGTGCAAGGAACTGATTCACCGCTTGCCTTGTCTTGCACTGGGGCTTCGTTGCGAGAACCTACCGTTTTGACCACTCCTGTTCTGCAACTTCTGGCAAAAGTCTGACAAGAGTGTCCGAGAGTCTTGTCTTGAGGCCTTCAATCGGTTTTTTGCGGACGCATCACTTTTCTTCTCAATGTGGATTGATGTCTCGAGTTCAAGGATATGAGATGAGCTTTGGAGTTTCCGGTTCACCATGCCGAAACTCTAAAGTCCACCTTATAAACCCTTGAACTAACTTGGTCAAGCCGCAAGCCCAATGATCCGACATCGTCCTGCGGTTCCGGCATCGCGTTTGCTTGTTTTGTTGGGGTTTGTATTGTTGTGGCCAAAATCTTATAGATGAACTTCGGTTCAACACGTCAAAACTCCAAAGTCCATCTCACAACCTTGCACTGGCTTGGTCAAGCCCAAGTTTGTGATCACGATGCCCGAACAAGGAAACACGATGCCCAAACCGCAGGACGATGCCGGATCACAAACTTGGGTTGGACCAAGCCAGTTCCAGGTTATGAGATGGACTTGGGAGTTTCGATATGGTGAACGGAGGTTCATCTATAAGATTTTGGCTGCAACAAGTCAACAAGCCCTACCAAAACAAGGACGCACGATGCCCGAACTGCAGGACTATGTCGGATCACAACCTTGAACTTGACCAAACCAGTTTGTGAGATTGACTTTGGAGTTTGGGCGTCGCGAGCGGAAGTTCATCTATATATAAGATTTGCTGCAACAATCCCCTAGCCCTGACAAAGCAAGGAAACGCGATGCCCGAACTGCAGAGTACAAAGCTGGACTTGACCAAACCGGCTCAAGGTTATGAGATGGACTTTGGCGCTTTGGCGTGGCGAACGGAAGCTCATCTACAAGATTCGCAAGGAAACACGATGCCCGAAGCTATTTGGAACGCTGATAATATGACACATCCAACTTCACAGGAATTTAGAAGGCCCTCTGGCCTTGTCTTCCACTTTGTGAGAATCATCCATCATGATGCCTTTGATGCCCTGGTACCTGTGGCTTGAAAGGGAATGTACTTTTTTAACTGAAGGACCAAACGGTGCAAAACACATCTATCCCATGTGGACACATGTTTAACAACTCAAACTGAAGCACTTCTTTTCCTCCGTCTTTCAGCAGTGCACAGGGTGGCAGCTCGGCCACCGTGAAGTCTAGCTCCAACAAATAGTAGGGGCGAGGCGGAAGGGTCGAGCCTGAGATTCGCCACCGTATTCGTAGTTATGCGGCAACAACTCAAACTGATGTCATGGAAGGGAGCTTTCCAGGATGTTTCCCAAGCGAGTCCTTGGGTCTTGAGGTAGAAAACCATAGTGATGGATCCTGCTACGAAGAGGCGGTCGACGCATGATGCTGAACGCAGCCACGTAGTGCACGGAGGCTTAACAGCACTGCCCAAGAGCCTGTCCGCCTCTATGAGGTGGAAAATCAATCAACCAATGTTGGAGGCTAGGCCATCGTCGGCATCTTCAAGCAAACAACCCTCGCCAGTCGAAGCATAGATGTTCTTATCTTGCTCACTATGAAGGCGGGCGCAGGCTCAAGTCTTGAAAAGGATCTGAGCAATGTCTGAAGACACTGCGGTAGAGCAAACGGCGCCCCTCGTCCCAGAAGCATCAGTGGCATAGATGCGATCACCGATCCCTATGGAAATGTCACTTGGGATCAATGGGGCCAGCGCAGCAACTAGTGTCAACTCAGTAGCTGCAGCAACTGATCTTGGCAAGCGAACCTGGGCGTTGTGGTCCTTCCAGTCGGTGGACTCAATGAAGGTGAAGGCTTCATTCAACAGGCCCATTGTAAGCCAAGCTCCCACAACCCATCCACACCGTAGTGTAGGGCAACGCGCGCAACTGAAGAGTGAGCTCTGAAAGGAAAAATCCGCTTGGCAGCAGGTGCGCCAACTGTACATCTCTTTGAGCAACAGCCTCTGGACCAAGTTGACATATGCTCCAATGACCTTGCCCTCTTTGCCTGCTTTGAGGTCCTTCTTTGGAGACCCAGCAGCTCAGTTTGAGCTTTTTGCGCCTTGGTGTACGATTTGTATCGAGTCTGAAGTGGCTTGAGTCAAGGGAGACGCAAAAGAAATCGTCAGCGACCAGGCCTTCCACTACAGAAGGATCCATGCTTGGACAGGTTGGCCACAAGTTGAACGCCCTCTGCCAGCAGGCTGAAGCAGCTGACAATGAGCATCTGTATCTCTCGGCAAGAAGTAAGTGCTAGTAGGCATCAGAGTCCTTGACAAGGTCGATCGGCAGCCCTGCTCCACCCATAGCTAGTGGTAGAAAAGTCTCTCCTATCCAACACTGAAATGAAGACCCGTTGATGCCTTCAGCCCACCACCAAGTCACACAAGTCTTGCCCTGCTGGGAGTTTCAACTTCATCTCGATGAAGTAGGAGGCCTTGAAGGTCCCAAAGCATAGCAAGCTTTGCAACCACTTCAGCACTGTCCCTGACTTGACAGGCTGCTGGTTGTCTACAAAGGCGAATGGCCTCAGGTTCACGACGCAAAGGAAGTCAGTCACGTCCCAGTGGCCACGCCCACAGAGATGAAGACGGCTAGGATCAAAGTCCCTGCGCGGCTCCAGCTCTGGAAAGCGAGCGTTGTGTTGGGGAACTTCACAGCCTGCAAAGACTTGGGAGTAGGAGGTGAGGAGCAGCCCAACATCGTAAGCAGCTCGGAGCTCGATGAACACCAGCGTTGGATGAACTTCTTTCAGAGGTGTGTGGATCAAGGCTTGATGCTTGTCAAAGTTCCCGCTGACGACGGTCTTTGCTGACATTGGTGGACAAGAAGTACGACAATGATTGCATCAAAGCCAACAATGATGCTTTCCTACAGCGAACTCAAGCAGCTTGGAATCAAAATTCTTTTGCTTGGCGGTTGGGCGAGACCCTGCATCCCTCCAACAATTGCACATCACTGCATTTGTTCCAGACGATGCTGAGGATGCAGAAGAAGAGCCTGCTTGCCAACAGGAGCCCGTAGAGATTCTAACACCGCGACGACAAATCAAGCGAGCCTTTCCCGCGGGAGTTTGTCACCGTTGACCGTTGCACACGGCCAGACGACAAGCGGAGTCACCCGTTCAAAAGTGCAGCAGAGCTCCTACGCGGCCCAAGAATGATATATAATCATCTGGAACATCCAAGCAGGATGGCAGAGATGAGACCTACCGAGACCCCAAACAAGAAGGGGATCAAGGCGGAAGGGTGGGCAAGAGGAGAGGGACGCACTCGAAAACAGCGCCCCAACACAGCATAAAAACCTCCTCTCGAGCTTGAGATGCGCCACCGTATTCGTAGTTGCGCGGCACACAATCCCACAGCAAACACTGTCTAAGCTTTAGTAGGAAAGCGCAAAGTCCTGACGGACCAAAAGTCCCTAGCGACTCGCAACAAACCATGAACTCAACAAAATGAAAAACCTGCCCGCACTCTTCACAGTGGTCAACGAGTGAAACCCGACGTCTGCAGCAGAACACTGTCTCGAAAGCTGCAATTCCAAGGTCTGTGACTCTAAATCTGGGCGTGCCACATGCCCTTTGAAAGGCCGCGCTGTCCAAAAGAAAACTCATTTTGAGGCTGCTGAAGGCATTCAGTTCGTGTTGCACTATTCATTGTTGGGTGGCTCGCTTTTTCATCTGCGCTGTCTCTGCTAAACATCTTTTGAGGCGACACAGCATTTCAATGGAAAAAAGAACAAGCAAGCGCTGACATGGAGCTTGAATGATTTGGTTCTGGCGCAAATGACAGGCAACTGTGAAGTCTCGGCTAAATGTTTGCACATTTCTTGGCTGAACCTTGTGGCGCAAAAATACAACGTCAAAACATGGGGAAGGCGTACTCGGGGCTCAATTCTGGATGATTGGCTATCATCTTGGCCAAAAGCCGCTCATCCTCTTGATGGATGTACCTCCACTCAGTGGAAAAACTATTCATAAGTTTGCCTACTTGTTCAACGTGGAACCTCTCCGATTTCTGAAACCTCTCAAATTCGTGTTGTCCATATTTCATCCCGACTGTGTTTGAAACTGACGGAAAAAACTTTCAGGGCCAAATTGACTTCAACACCATATCTATCCTTAACGCACGGCTAATCCCGGCGCACAGGTTTTCCTGCGCCTGGCCAAGAAAGGTTAGGTCTCAGTTGTTGCACAAAACTCGACTGAAACCCATTAAACCTTTGACAGGCGGATTTGGAAATCAGGCTTTTGGTCAGACGTCCGCACGGCATCCGCTCTGACCGCAGGACAAGGGGATAAGCAAGCAAGTAGCTAAGGAAATGGTATAAAAAATTTTGTCTTCTCCCAAAGGAGCCTGCCTGTTCTTATTCCAAGCCTCTCCTGTTATATCTTTAGGTCTGTGCTCTCAAGGAAATATCTCGCATCTCCACCTCTTTGCACTAAAGCTCAGCTCACGTATTCACATCCACGAACTGTTCAATCAGGTGGGCTGGTGGTTTTCTAGAACTAATTGGCTGACTAGCATAGCAGCAACGAACTGAAAGCCCAAGGAAGTAGCTGTTGCTGGTGCATGGATCGGCGCCCGATCAGGATGAACCCGCATTTGGTATCAGAATCTGCATGTCCCTCGCACAAGGTCTTGTACACACAGTGGCCACACAGTGGCTACCCACAGAAGTAGCCACAGTCAGTTTCGATTGAGCGCTTGAGCTTGCCTTGTGCGCTTCCTCCAGGATCCGGATGCCGCCAGAGAAGCGAGCTAGCACGCCCTGTACAGAACGCCAATCCTTTTGACTAGAACGCCGTCTGCGTAGGACACAATCTCACATGATACATTACACATCTCCGCCATTCCCGCCCCACCTGTTGGTAAAGACGGCCCCGCGCAGCGTGCGCACACGTTGCAAGCATAACCTCTGAAAGCAAAATCGTTTGTACAGATCTTCACACAAAGGCACAAAAATAAGCGCAAAAAATACCGACACCTGTAGGAAACTCCGGACGCGAAGAGGGTCTTAACTTTGGACCTGCGAAAGCAACGACTGTCTTTTCACTAAGACCCCGGCCCCGAACAGAGGCTTGGCGCTGTCAAGCTTGGAAGCCAAAGAAACAGCTATGCTGTGTTGCGTCAAAATGTCGCAATTTTCTAAAGCACACTCGAACAATACCGCCAAGACGTAAGCTTGCCTATACTTTTCAAGCAGTTCAAAGGGACTGGCGACCCTGCGCTCACCTGCCGCCTGCGGCCTCCCACAGCGCGCCGCGCTCCCCTTTCGACTCAGACACGAGTCGCAGGATTAACGGCACCCCGCGCCATGTACTCAAGCCTGTGGCCCATACACACCAAGTAAACATGGGTCTGACGCAGTGAAGTGGAAATCTCATTCCTCAAAGTCTCTTCTGCGTTAGACCGGCCTGAATCATCAAAAACCATGGAGATTGGGCAAACCCTTTCGGACCCTTGGCTTCGGTTTTGCCTGCGGTTCACTTGCATTCGCAGGCCCCACGTGCGCCGTCCAGCCTTCATCGTCCGTGGCCACATGGAAACGCTCGGTCAAGCCACTGAGCCCCATGACAAGTTCAGGTTGCACTCCGGATTCTTTGCACATGACCTGCAAGAATTTGTTCCTCCAGGCTGGATATTCAAATAATTTGCGTCACCCTTCATGGCGCAAATCTGCGATCGCAGCCGTGAATGCTTCATGTTGCGGCGCCAATGCCTCAGTCGTAGTCACTGGCGCCTTTGGCTCATGACTGTCCTTGAACCCCCCTTGGTCGAAGTAATGTGAACGAGCTCCCTCATGAAGAACGAAACTGAACGCTCAGACCATTCACCGGTACTCTCTCAGCACCTCATTCTTTTGGATCGCAGCTCGATCCTTCTCAATGACCTCCTGGAACGTGTCCTCCACGATGTCCAAGAAGGCCGCCCCAGTCTGGAATGCCACCATCTGAGTGGGTTGGTGAAGGTGAACGTTGCCATGCTTTCACCCCTGAAGATCTTGAATTCACCATGCTCGACGGGATCTGGATCTTGCACATCGACTGGCTCTGCATCAAGCATGTGTTCACGTCCGCTTTTCGCCCTTGGCATCATTGTCTCGAAGAGCGCGGTGACTTCCTCTTCTCCAAGGCCCTTGGCCGACACTTTCACCATGTAATTGGTTAGAGTGAGGTCTCAAATCCAGTACACCTCTGAGCCGAGATCTTCGATCGATGTCTTCTTTCCTCTCACTCTCAACGCCCTCTGCTCAGCAGCACTTTGAAGCATGACGCTTTCATTGTTCAGGCGATATACAATTGATTTCATGGCTCCCGGTAAAATGTCCATGGCATCCGCATTTTCCTTTGTAGTGCATCTGCCAATTCTAACCATGTGGGCTCCCACCGTATTGATCCCTAGAGTCGTTTCAATGGTTCTTTGACAATGACTAGGTCAATGGCTACCCTTTTGTCTCCCACACTTCCAGGTGAGGCATAGTGGTCATATATACTCTTGCAATCTGTTATGGCCTGAATTTCAAACTCCTGGAAATCTTATGATCGGTCGGTTAAAGTGAACTGTGCATACTTCACCTCCGCCAAGTGACACGCTAACCACTGTGTGTCCTAGTCCGTCTGCCAAAGCTTGCGTTTCCCCTGCGTCTCTTCAATCGATATGACTTCCACACTGCTGGGCTTCATGGCGCTGGCTTGCCGTCTTTCAGCTCTTTTCTTGTGATTCCCACCATGTATCCAGCTTGCGCACCTTGTTTCTTTGCTTTTGCTTTAAAAGCAGCGTCTGTGCGAAGGCGCAACTTGATGTCTTGTAGTGGAATTGATAAGATTTTCCAGCTCAAAGTTTTGCGTTGCTTTGCACGACGTGTGATGTTCGCAATTGCTTCTGCTTCCCCCAATGTCGGGGATGGCAACATTTGTTGTCCTTGGCTCACCTGTACTGCTAGGTCGGGTCTTGTTTCTTTGGCTAGCCATAGACCTGCTCCTAACACCGACTTCAGAGATGATGTCTCCTCGGCATTGATTGTCAGGCGCGGTGCTTCTCTTGTTCGAAGCGTCGGTTTTCCCTTGTTCTCGGCAAACTCTTCCTGACTCACTTCAGCCTCGATGGTCTCCTGGTTCTGACGAAGTTGTGATCCGCAGAAAGTTCCTTTGCGCCTTGCCCATTTGCGATAGGAAATGTTGCCTTGAGAGTGGCAATTGGCTTTTCGAACAGTGCCCCACGACCACCAAGTAGGACGTCATCGACGTATACCCCCATGATTCCAACTAACTTGGCTTTTCCCGCCAAGACCGGAATCCCACAACATGTACACACATGGGCCCAGCTTTGACGGTGTCCACGAAAGATTCCTCAATGCATCATCGCAAGTACTATACCACTTCTGTGGGCTGTCGTTCAAACCGTGCAACGGTCGGACCACCTCAAATAGTTGATCTGGTTCATGATCAGGTAGAGGATAGTTCTTTGGGCAAGACATCCTCAGTCGTTGATCCCCCTTCAGCTCTTTTGTCTCTAGAAAGGCGCCAGTGACGTCACCTAGCTGAAGAACAAAATGACTGCTGGCAATTGTCTGTAACGCTGCAAAACGTCCATTTGTTGGGGGTTGCGTCTTTCCTCCTCTCACCAATGCAAACAAATCCGGACCCTTGTCACCCCGCAGTCCATCTTGCTTTCACGAATTCTTCTTCAGCGTCATCCACTTGTGGAGTCAGGACCAACCGACTTGGCACAATCCTCTCGGGACATTGTTGTCTAATCTGGCAAGACTCCTCCAGCGTGCAGGGTTTCAGCGCCTGCTTGTCCTCCAGCTAGTAACACTGCATTCTCCTGCTCAATGTTTGCATCAACAGCTAAAACCCAGATTCCTCCTTCAGCATCCTTTTCGTTCAAAGAGACATTGCAACTCGCTGAATCCCTAATGGTTCATCCCTAACGGTTCTGTCGTTGATGAACAAACTGTTGTAGAAGATGATGAACTGGATGAAGACGTTCCCGATCCACTCCGGCTAGAAATTGGTATTGGGACTGTTTCTGCTGTCCTGAGGAGGCGGATTGGGGAAAGGTCTGTCCTCCGATCACTTGCTCTTGCCGGAGTCTCTTTGGCTCTGGTTCTGGGCCCATTGGTCGGCGACGTCCGTCCAGCCTGTCTGCTCTTTCTCCTGACTCTTGCCACCTCGCCCGTTCGGCTGGCGACAGTTCTTAATTGATCGCTCAATGACCAAGAAATTGTCATGGGCTGGTCCGGTTGTCTGGATACCTGGGTGGGCGGTTGTTCGGCCTGCTCATTCTGGTCTGGCCGCTCTGCCGGTTCTGGCTGCTGCTGCCCAACTGGCACATTTGGATCTCATCCTTTGCGATGTCAATGAAATTGTTTCTGGGCGTTCTCTGAACTGCCAACCTCTGGAAACAGCTGCGCTGCAGCAGCCCGAATGTCTCTGACCAAAAATCGGTCTGCCTCTCGCCCTGACGCTGTCCTCAATCTCACAAAACCCAGTAATTGCCTCCAGCTTCACCTGCTACAATGCCCAGTCCTCGCCACCTAGACACACTCTTCTTGATACCTCTTCCTCTTCCTCGGGCGCTCATCCGCAGCCGTCTCTCCCTCCGGAATCAGGTTCATGAAGCTGTCCTCGGTGTTGTTGGCGCCTGTCACCTCCTCAGTCTCTTCCCCCGGTAGGTCTGCTGTCATTGGTGACCAACTGGAGAACTTCAACTTCTTGATCTCTCCCTCTTGGCGGCCTCTTCATGTCCATTCAGCATCATCTCGCCCTTCTGGAGGTCCACGACAGCTCCCAGCACCTTCAGGAACCATTTGGAGATCAACAGGCGCACTGAACCTTTCACCACGCGCATCCTCAGCCGTGGCCGGATGCCTGCGAGAAAGATGGGGTATTCAAATTGCTTTAAACTGGTTTAAAGCAGTTCCAAACCTATTCACAAGGTTCTCAAACATTCTCTAGCGGCTTCTATCAGGCGGTATGGTCTGCACCGCGCGTCTGCCGCACCATTGCCATACGATGTTCCATGCCCTTGACCTTCATGTCGTACTGGGCAAGTAGCTCTTCATGTTTTCGGCAAAGCCTCGACCACAGCCCGTGTCCACCACTCTATAGCCTCATCGACCAGCGCCACCATTGAGACAAGTGCTCCGGTGTCCGCAGGGCTTCCTCCTGGGCCTTGTCAACAAAGCAGCCAGCTCTTCATCAAGTAGAAGATGGTTTGCCCTGACCACTCATAGCCCAGGCGTCGATGAGCTTCTCCTCGGTGTTTCCAGAGGACTGATGGCGCTCGTTGCCCTGCCTAACATAGGTCCTCAAAGCCACGGGCAGCCTGACGCTGCTGGAGGAAGGCTCTGATCGCCTGCCTGCCTTGCACATGCCAGCAGTCCCTCCACATACTCCCAACCAGCAACCATGGCCATCATCACTTGTCCTGACAGGCGGTCCCCAGGTATGCGACGCGACGTTTCCATCACTCCATGTATGCTCAGGAGCATCTCCTCGTCGACGTGGTCGTTGGACCAAATCATCAAAACCAGATTCACTTTGGTACTCGGTGTTGTTGAGCTATCCTTTCCTTGCTGCCCCCCTTCCCTTGCCGGGGGCAATTGCGACTGAAATGGCTAACTTGCTTGCAACACGGCTCTCCAGCTTCTTGAAGTCTCTGCCTGAGCCTGAGCCGCTGCGCCCACCAAAACCTCTCGCCAGCTTCGTTTGGGCGACGCCAGCCCTCGTTTGTTTCCAGGTGAGGAGAGCGTCCACTGCATCTTGTTCTTCAAATTCATCATCTGGTCCATATCCAGCCTCTGGCACAAAAACCTCAAAGGCATTCTCGTCGGCCTGGCTCTCTTCATCGTTGATGTAGCCCTCGTCCTCCACATGGTAGGTCCCTGTCTGGTTGGCCGCCTGGAACAGGTTCTTTGGGTATGTTGTCCTGAGCGCTGGCGCCACGTCACGTTCCACATATGAGACTGTCGCGCTGCGGCCATGACGACGGCCTTTATCTCAACGTTCAACTTGGCGAAGCGACGCAGAAGATATCCTCGGGCAACATCTGGAAGTACAACCCCTTCAGCTTCGGCAGCCGCAGATGCGGCTGGAGCTTTGCCTGCGTACACAGCCGTGCTTTCTCCCTTTTCGATCTTCAAGTCAAACACGGCCTCCAGCACCTTACCTAGCCGATCATGCGTTGCTGCGAAGAGACTGCTAACCTGCCGCGCCCTGTGCTGCGCCTGTACTGGGGCCTATGGTCCATACAGACCAAGTAAACATGGGTCTGATGCAGTGAAATGGAAATCTCAAGCAGGCACAACTGCTCCTTCTCTCCACTTTGCCAGCCTCTCTAAAGAGTTTCCGCCAACGCACCCGCTTCAGTAAGGCCCGCTACGACGAGGGCCATAGCTGCCAAAACCTGCGTTTCTAGATGTTCGAAAAACATTCAATCAAGGCAAAACTGAGAAAATATCTGATCGCGATTCACGATCACTGCCACGTTGAACTTCCTCGACATTTACATCCTTAAGCGCACCAATACCTCCGTATCAAACAGCCCGCCTCGAGCGCTCGAAGGTTGCCACGGGTCATATCCTGCCATGTCTCTGGGCGCAAATTTCTCGATGTTGTTCAAGAAATGTTCAGTCAAGGCTAGTCATAACCACCAGGAAATATGGTCCGCCGAACACTTCCCCGAATGTTTTCAAGCGTCGCGCTGCAAGCTACAGTGCAGCAGCCTGTTGCCGTTGTGTGGTCGCAGTTGGCGTAGCTGCTGTTTCAGTTGTTGTTGTTGGCTGTAGAAAAAAAGCTGCCCAACATAATTGTCACACGTTGCAACTGTGGAACTTCAAGGGGATTGAGGGTTTGAGCGATTGTTGGTTTCGTAAGTCGGTGGACTTGTTGGACTTGTTTCGCTGAAGTCTGGTCCAAAAAACAACAACGGGGCTGCAGTCTTTGTTTCGAGGAGGGGGTAGAAACAACAACACCTTTCGAGGGGGGAATTTAAAAAACAACAACGGGCTGCAGCTTTTGTTTCTGGGTTGTGGTATAGGTTCTAAGTAGAAGTTCCACACCGGGGCTTATTACTACCACTACCACTACGACTACTACTACTACTACTACTTGTTGTTGGCTGGTTGTTTTCGGGGAGGCAAAAAACAACACCGGGGCTGCAGTTTTGTTTCCAGCCCTTGTAGAGACAAAGAAAGAAGATATGTTGATATGCTGTAACGACGCTGCAGTTTTTGTTGGTACCTTGCTGTTGTTGTTGCTGTTGTTGCTGTCGTTGTCACTTTTGCTGTTATTGTTGGCGATGGCGGTGCGCTTCGTGTTCCGCGCTTAGGGTTTGGTGTTTGATGCCTGGTTGTTGCTTGTCCTCTCGGAAATAAGTCTAATTTGATTGAAACCATTATAATCCTGTTGAAAGGATAGCTTCCACACCTTGCCATCCATCTTGCCATCCGCTCGATCCAGATTGCCAATCAGACCATGTTTGCCAGGCGCCTCGTGCGTGGACTCTCCAATAATCCCAGCCCTACTCTACTCTCCAAAATTATCCGGGCAAGAGACTTGAGGTCTAAAAGCAGAAAGTCTAGAGATCTAGACGCATTGGGGTCCAGAGAGGTGATGGTGGTGATCAAGGTGGGGATCGTGGTGACGGTGGCGGTGGGAGTGAGTGAGTGAGTGAGTGAGTGGGTGGGTGAGTGAGTGAGTGAGTGAGTGAGTGAGGGACCGAGCGAGCGAGCGAGCGAGCGAGCGAGCGAGCGAGCATGCGAGCGTGCGTGCGTGCGTGAGTGAGTGAGTGAGTGAGAGTGTGACGGAGTGTGAGTGTGAGTGAGAGCGGCAGAGTGAGTGAGTGTGAGTGTGAGCGCGAGCGTGAGTGAGAGTGAGTGTGGGTGAGAGTGAGTGTGAGTGAGAGTGCGAGTGTGAGTGAGAGTGTGAGTGTGAGGGAGAGCGAGAGTGGGAGAACGAGTGTGAGGGAGTGTGAGTGTGAGTGAGAGTGGGTGAGAGTGAGTGTGAATGAGAGTGAAGGAGGGTGTGAGCGAGCGCGGGCGGGAGTGAGAGTGAGTGTGAGTGTGACAGAGAGTGAGAGTGTGAGAGTGAGTGAGAGTGAGAGTGGGAGAGTGAGTGACAGTGAGACTGGGAGAGTGCGTGAGTGTGTGTGTGTGTGTAACCCTTGGAATCAAAGGGAACCTTAAGGTTTGGAACAGGGGGCTGGAGTGTGCTTCAGATGTCTCCAGCCAACGAAGACGCATCTGTCGCACAGTGATATAGTTCTGGGACGCCAGAACTATGTACCTGTTCCACTTTTTAGGAAAACAGGAGGAAATGGTACTCGACACACTTGTGCGTCGGCGCCTTTCCTTCTGTTTTCCTCTAAGGCTACTCTTCAGGTTTACAGGTAGGCCTCCTAACTCGCTGTTTTGCTGTCTTGTGCTTCTTGTACTTTTGTGCTTCTTGTAACCTTGTAGCACTGGCCTCCAACTTGGTACCCTGGCCTCTACCCACTAGCAAGAACCTCCAACTTTGGCTGTCTTGTGGCTTTTCTTGTGCTTTGTAACCTGGTAGCGCTGGCCCCCAACTTGGTACCCTGGCCTCCAACCTACTAGCGACGACCTCCAACTTTGCTTTCGCTGTCACTGTGTGTCTATGGTCCACCACCTACTAGCGATGGCCTCCAACCTTAGGTCTTGGCCCAACAGCCTCGCGTTGACCTCCAACCAAAACCGCTGGCCTTTAACCTACTATTTGCTGTCACTTTGCGTCTATGGTCCACCGCCTACTAGCGATGGCCTCCAACCTTAGGTCTTGGCCCCAACAGCCTCGCGTTGACCTCCAACCAAAACCGCTGGCCTTTAACCTCCCTCGCGTTGCAAACCGTTGGCCTTAAACCTACTATTTCCTGGTATCTCAGGCCTTTTAACTAACCTAGGCCGGCGTGTGGCATCGCTGTCAAGTCAGTACGCATATCCATAAGTGTGTCTCTCCCAGTGAGAGTCCGGGATGAGACCGCAGAGTGCCTCCCGTGGACCCGTTGAACGGGGGTTTGTCGTTATCTCCCTTGCTTTGGAGATGTAAGTGTCCGGAGCGGACAGCAGGTGGCCTAGGCCGAACGTCCGATGATTTTTGTCTCATCTTTGGAATTCCAAGTTGGCTCATGCCTTTACGTGACCGCAGCGGTCAAAGCAGCTAGCCATCTCGGCAGGGCACAAGGTGACCGCAGCGGTCGAAGCAAGTTTAAGGTTCATTGGAACCTGTGGAGAACTTAGCCCCCTTCTCCCCCTGCCCTCCCCCTTTCTCTCTTTGCTTTCTGGTGTTTTCCTGAATGTAATACTCAGGATCTCCCCTTTCCTTCTTTGGTGTGTCCCTGGACGATTGTTCGTAGCTGGGAACACATTCCTTTCTCTCCTCTCCCTTTCTCTCCCTCTCTCTTTCTTTCCTTCTCTTTTTCCTCTCTTCACCCTCTTCCTTGGGCGTCCCTGGATGCTTTCGTCATAGCTGGGAGCCCTTCCTTTTTGGTCCTTGGACGCTTGCCCCGTAGCTGGGAACACCTTTGCTTCCTTCTCTCCCTCCTTCTCTTTTCCTCCCCTCCTCCCCTTTCCTCGCCCGTGGCGTATTTACAAGCAAACTAGGCTTTTGCAACAGGTTTCTCAGTGAGGTTTGGACTGTCATCGGTTTGCCCCCTTTCATTTGGTTCCCCTTTCATCCGCCCCCACAGACTTTTTTCCTTCTTTCCTTTCATGTCCTTCTGTCTTCATGTCTCTTCATCCTCATCCTTTCTTTCTCTTGCGCGCACTATCGTCCGGACCTTAGTTTGTACACATACACGCACGCGTACTCTACTTACAGCGAGGTTCAGGTGGCCCAGGTTCGTTACAATGAGGTTTGGCTCATCGGTTGTCCCTCTTCACTTGGTTCCTTTTCATCGGCAACCACACACACCTCTGTCTGTCTTGTCCTTTTCATTTTCATCTGTTTCTTTTGCGTGCACATGTGCCTACCTCCTTTCCGGGCAGGATGGAGGTCACACATGCCTCCCTTCGGGGAGGCGTGTGTGTGTGTGTGTAACCCTTGGAATCAAAGGGAACCTTAAGGTTTGGAACGGGCTGGAGTGTGCTTCAGATGTCTCCAGCCAACAAAGACGCATCTGTCGCACAGTGATATAGTTCTGGGACGCCAGAACTATGTACCTGTTCCACTATTTAGGAAAACAGGAGGAAATGGTACTCGACACACTTGTGTGTCGGTGCCTTTCCTTCTGTTTTCCTCTAAGGCTACTCTTCAGGTTTACAGGTAGGCCTCCAAACTTTGTAAGGGGTTCTTTAACTTGAACCTTGGCCTCTACCCACTAGATTGACCCCCAACTCGCTGTTTTGCTGTCTTGTGCTTCTTGTACTTTGTGCTTCTTGTAACCTTGTAGCACTGGCCTCCAACTTGGCACCCTGGCCTCTACCCACTAGCAAGGACCTCCAACTTTGGCTGTCTTGTGGTTTTTCTTGTGCTTTGTAACCTGGTAGCGCTGGCCCCCAACTTGGTACCCTGGCCTCCAACCTACTAGCGATGACCTCCAACTTTGCTTTCGCTGTCACTGTGTATCTATGGTCCACCGCCTACTAGCGATGGCCTCCAACCTTAGGTCTTGGCCCCAACAGCCTCGCGTTGACCTCCAACCAAAACCGCTGGCCTTTAACCTACTATTTGCTGTCACTTTGCGTCTATGGTCCACCGCCTACTAGCGATGGCCTCCAACCTTAGGT